CCCCAATCCCCAAAACCCCAAAACCCCAAAACCCCAAGTTATGGCTAAAATAATTGTTATGGTGTCTCATCTAAAAGATCATTTGAATGATCTTTCCCATAAAATGCTAGGCAGAGTTAAACTAGTGGAATAGTATTGAAATTGCTAGATTATCGATTAATTTCTTAAGGATTTTAACGTACTCTATAATACTGATTTTTATACTTCAGTGTGATATATTGCTGATTTGTTAAATATAGACTGTGTTTAATAGAGAAAAGAAGGGGTTATTTCTCAGTATTTTAAATAAATTAAATAGAAAATGCAGAAATTATGAGGGTAATTTTTAAAAATCCTATCAAAACATTCTCTCGTTAAGTGTAATTCTCAGATCCCTAGTTTCAATTCTTCTTATATATATTTTAAGCACCTATATTTCAGTATTTAAAAATTAACTGCTAAACCAAACATCCAAATCATACAACTATAACCCAAAAATCCATCCCTCCACTTTTTATTCTGCTAACTTATGGAAAATTATCAAATTTGTCTGACAAAAATATCATTTTTTGTCCCCCAAAACAGCTACCAGTACAATAACCACACCTATCTCCCTACCATGCAAAAATACTAAAACACAGTTTCTCCAAAGACCAACCAGTGTTATTAGCCTATCCCTAAAAACTCAGGCTAAAATCTGAACCCACATAGAAAATCTTAGCCTTTAGGCAAGGATCTTAAGATTTTAGGAAGAAATTTTGTACTGGAAGAGGACTAGTGGGGAAGAAGGTTGGGAAGGGGACGTTAAGAGAAATTTTGGGATTTGGGGTTTTGGAGGGAGGGAGGTATGACTGTGGGGTTCTTGTTGGGCCTGGGAGATTTATGGGTTATGAAGATAGATGGTTATGTGTTCAGGGAGGATTTATGTCTTTGGAGTAGGTTCGATAGGTTTTGTTGAGTAGAGCTTTGAGTTTGGTATGAACATATCCAGGTTATGTTTTCTTCTTGGCATAATTGTTGGGCTTAAGCCTCGTCTTTGGATTATAAGAGATTCCATATTTGGACTTATAGGTGAGTCGTATGGGGTTGACATTTTTTGATGAGGCGAATTAATTCTTCATTCTGGTGCACTATTTGGAAGATTAAACATCAGTCACTCTTTATTTCATAGTACTCTTTGAATTCATTAAAATACTGCAAAATATATAAATATGATCCTTTTTAGGTAAACATATCAGTACGTATTTAAGCTAAGCCAGAAGGATGGTATAAAAGTGCTATTAAATGAATTTTTGAGTGATCCCCTTGCCTCCCTTCAATATTTCCAGCTTAATTTATGGTAGAACCTTTTTTACCTTTTATCTGTTCTGTAATTTCCTATGAAGATTTAGAATAATTCATGCATAAATTTACCTGGACTTGCTAATCGAATTTGGCGTGCAGTCCTGAATCATTTCTTTTCTGCAAGTCATCAGGGAAATCTTACTTGGCCTCTTTTGAAAAGGTGTGGGATGGTAGAACCATTCCCGCTTGGTTTTTCTGGTCCGCGATGAAACATTCCGCTATATAATAAGTCATAGAATTTTTTAGAGAAAGGACCATTAAAAATTCAGAATTTCGGGTTTTAAAATTTGTGAATATTTTATTGAGGCTGTTGATAAGTTTGAGCAGCAGAGTGTTTAAATTTGCAGAATTATTTTATGCATAACATTTTGTTCATAAAAAGGCCTGAGTTTAGGCTTACATGGTTTCTGGAGATCAGTCTGCCTCGAGTCTTTGGCGACTTCAAGCTTCTAATATTTGTGGGAGATGTCAATGTCTTCATATGTTGAGGTGAGAACAACCTCTTCCTATTTCTATGAGAGAATAAACTATTCAACTCTGAGACATTTAGGTGGCTCTTCTCTCTTGCTTGATCTAATGTAGCAATAGGTTTTGGGAAAGTAGGCTTGTTTAAATCTCTAAGCGGAGAAAATACATCATTCCTCTCTCTTTTTTTCACAATTTTAAGCATCTTAATATTAATCTTCTTGAGATTCTTCCTTTTTCTCTTCAAGATTTTATTCTTTAAATTAACTCTGATCTTTGGTTGTGGCTATAAAAGGTGTAATACTTTAATTACTCTTTCTAAATTATTGGAATTACTGGAAGAACTAGAATGTATCTCAAGTATTTGGTCATGATGAAGATCCTTCGCTCTGAGATTTCTGTTGAAAGAGACAGATTCACTTTCAGGAGATTTTTGAAATGAGAATCAGTCGGTATTGCTTGACTCTCTTTTATATTTGCTATCTTTCTCTTCTTTTTCCTCTTCCTCCTCTTCTTCTGTGTCTTGAAGCTCTTCTTCTAATTTGAGTTTAATCCCTTGGAGCTTATCATAGTTATCTTTGGATTCATTATTAAAATTATGCTGTACATTTTTGTCTTTGTTTAATGTCCGACTGAAAAGGATCAAAGATTTCATTCTAGATTCACCTTTATCAAGGTCTTCTCTCAGACCAGAAATAGACACTCTTGGTTTAAACCAAGCAGGAGAATGCTTCTTTCCCCTTGGAGAAGCCTTGCTAGAACCTTTAGAGGAAGCTCTATACTCTGATTTATGACTACGCCCTGGAGAATTTTTATTTGGGACTAGTAAACTTGACTTAAAATTCCCGCTCAGTAAAGAACTCTGTCTCTTCAAGTAATTCTTATGCAAAGTTGATTTTCTACTATATTCTTCCCTGATAGAGGATCGATTATTCTGTCCTGATGAAGAAGCCTTGGAGTTAGACCTCAGTCTTTTTATTGCTAAAATATTAGGTAATCTCAAATATTTGCCCTTACTTTTGAGAGCAACAGTTGCTCTTCTTCTAAGATCGTTTACCACATTCTTTGATACATCTAATGTAGAACTTCTTTGGATCTTTGTCGGAGTGAGGCTATCTCAAATTATTTCTTTCTGGAGATAAGTAAGTGAGCTTACAGTGTTAATATGGTTTTCATTAATCTCCTGTTGAATCATCTCTTTGGTACTCCCTTGAATATTAATTTTAAAATTGAAATGTCGAGACACCTTAGAAGAAGTAGAAGATCAGCTAGATATAGAGGAGAGTTTATTGCCTTCACTTGACTCCACCTCTTCATTCTTTGATGTAGTGTTATCAATTTGGAAAAAGTCTGAATCTCTCATGTTTTTCATACGCTGTTCTTGACTAATGTCGTCCTCCTTAATTTTAATGGCATTTTTATTCTGAAGAGTAAAATCTCTTAATTTGTGAGAGTTTGGAGTATCAAGATCTTTTGATATTGGGGAAGCAAAACTGTGTACAAAATGCTTAGCTCTTAATCCTTTGAAGTCAGGCGACTTTAAAACTGGCTTGTAGTTATGAAACTTTGCACCCAAGGTAAGACTGCCAAAACTATTAGCTGGCGATCTGATCTTCATGCTTTCTATTCTTTTACTATTAGCAAATTTTGTTTTTAATTTATTTAAGTTTATTCTAAATTTTAGATAGATTTTTACTTTCTTGCTCAGATCGAACTCTTGGCTTAATTTTGGATCTTTGAAGTATGGTGAGTAAAAGTAGTCTAGCTTCATGACTAAGCCAGCATCAGATACTTTCTCATTGAATGCTTCTAGAAAATTTAGGCGACCAATACTGTTATTTTCCTTCAGCGAAGCTCATCAAACTGCTGGGAGACCCGAACTGCTTGGTATTTGAGCTATTTAGAGAACTGATTTGAACAATTTCCTCCGGTTCAAGCCGTTCTTTAAGTTTCCTCTCTCTTGGAATGAATGAGCCTATATGACAATAAGGCTGATTGTAGGAATTTATTAAAAATTTGGTTCTTTTTACTTACTTTTATAACAAGCTTTCGGAGTGTCGACATCTGAGTTTTCTTCATTTATAATCTGCAAAGGGTTCACCGTGCTTTCAGTTTGAACCAAAGGATTTTTGGGTAAGCTATATAATACATTACTAAAATTTTAGATTGCTTCTTAAAATAAGCATTGCGGTGAAAGTTCATAACTGAGAAAATGCTAACTGAATGGCAATAACATGTCTCCTTATTTCAGAAATTTACTAATTAATCTTATTTTATTTCTAATAATTTGAAAATCCATTGCTCTAAAAAGATTATTATACCTTAAGGACATCAATTTAAGCTGCAGGGTCAAATTTTAAAAACTCATATTTTGAAACCTGGGAGATAAGCTTGAGAAGTGCTTCAGAAATATGATTGAGAACAATTTGTGTCATACTTTTGCATACGGTTGTTCGATAACTGGCTGATTGTGATGACTACTTTAGAACTTTTGTCATTCTCTCAATTAATGGCTCTCATCATTTTTATTTCTATTTTTAATGAAGCTTTTGGGGTTTTGGGGTTTTGGGGTTTTGGGGTTTTGGGG